AGTATTTTTATTATAATTATAAAAAAATATTATTATTAGCTTATTTTTGTAAATTAGTTTAAATTCTTGAAGTATTAAATTAGAAATAAGTTTTATAAAATTTTTTAGTATATTTTTAATTTTAAAATAAAAACTAATAAATTTATTATTAGATTAATTTAGAATTTATAAACCTTAGAATTTTAGATCAAAGATAAGTTTTGATAGAGTGTAATATTTTAATTATTTTTTTTTTTTATAATCAAAAAAAATACTAAAACTAAATTTACCTTTATAAAATAGTCTAGATTCTTGAATCTTAAATCAGGATAAAAAAAATTTTTTATAATTTTTTTTTTAATTTATAATAAAATTAACTTATATTTATTTTTTTTAATAGATTATTCTAGAACTTTAAAATTAAAATCTTAAATCAAAGATAATCTAATATAATTTTCTAATGTATAGGGGTGGTCAGTAGAAATAGAAAAAATTCAAATTTTTTATTAGTCCACTTTATTGATTATGGTTATGTGAACTAAATTAGTTAGTTTAATAACTCAAAATTTGTAGATTTCCTTCTTTTCTATTGATCATTTCTTATATAAATTTTTATTTAAAAAAAATTTATATATTAATACTTAGTATTTAACATCATTTTTTTTTTTAGTAACATTTAGAAATATTTCTAAAAACAATAATTAAAAAAAATCCTACTTTTATTATCCTCAAGTTTATAAAAGTAAATTTTAAAATATATATTAATTTTTTTAAATAAAAATAAAATAATGAATTATTCCATTAGAATTTATTTCTAATCTGATCTGATTTTAACTTAGTATTTCAAGGATCTGAACTTTTTATAAAAATAAATTTAGTGTTAGTTTTTTTTTTATGATTATAAAAATACAAAATAAACAAAATATTTTCACTCTATTAGAAGTTTTCTTTAATCTAAAGATTTCAAGTTTATAGATTCTGGATCAGTCTACAAAGGTAAGTAAATATTAGTTTTATTTTAAAAAAAATTAAAGAAAAAAAATACTAACAAAAATTTTGTTAAAACTTACCTCTGACTCAATGCCTCAAGGATTTGGATCAATTTATTAAAATAAGTAGTATATTATTAGTATTAATATTAATATTTTATATAAATTAATAAATTATTTTTTAAAGCTTACCTTCAATTCAACTTTAAGATTTCAAGGTTCAGGTTCGTTTTACAAGATAAATTCATAGTTTTTTTTTAAAAAAAATGTTAGTAATTTTAAATAAATAACAAAGAACTAACGCATTCTTCTATTGGGACTTATTCCAATCAAACTTTTTCAAGGTTGTAAGGTAATCCTAAAAAATAAAAACATACCTTTTAGAAGTCATTATCTTTCAACATTTCTTTTTCATTTATATTGACTTATATGGTTTCCAATTATTGCAAGATCATCTAAAGCTATATATGCAGATAGTTAAAAAAAGCTTTTGATTTTATCATTAAAGCTGCTATGTAACATGAATTTTTAAATATTTTCAAGGCTTTTTATTTTAATGTACAAAGTAGATTAAACCTGAGAAATATAACTGATAACAATCCTATTGTTATTAAGCATAAAGGGTGACCTCCAAAAGGTTAATAGCAGATGTTGAAAAAAGTTTACATAGGAAAAAGAGTATTAGAAGATAGTAGTAACGATATTGTAGTAAAAAGTTAGAGTGACTCACGTAATTTAGAAACTCAACAAATATTACAAAGGGTCATAAATGTGGAAAGTGTAATCAATATGGTCATTACGCGAAAATGTGTCAAAATATTGTTTAGGTGTCTATGTTAGTTTAGTGTTATTTTATTGGTTTAATTGATTTTTTAATAAAAATTCGCAGTTAATATTACATGACGCAAGATAATATCGAATCACGTGACCCGTTTATGTACACGTAGTGTACAATTAGAAATTGCCTTATAATAATTATAGATTAAAGAAATTTCAATTATAGAAAGAAGGAATCATTGATTTTTTTTTCATTAAAATAATTTCATCATCAAAAGAAACAGTTAAAAAAAAAAAAAAAAAAAAAAAACATAAAATTCATATTAATTAAAATAAATTGCTTATGTATAATCCTTCTTATTTCTTTAATTTTAATTTATAAATACATAATTTGGCTAAAATTCAGATTCTATCTACCTCGTATCAGAAATTAGTTTTTAAACTTTAATTAAAATAGTTACACAGAAATTGATCAATATGATCATTAAAGTTTTCGACAGGCATCGAAATGAATCGAAACCCGCCGAAACCATCGAAACTCCATCAAAAATCGAAGGTTCCGACTTTTGCCAAAATGGGATTTGGATTTGCCCCCAACCTTGATGATCATGACTGAATTTTGAATTCATATAAAATGGTATCTGAAATTGGAATTACAATGATTACTAATAACTTACCTAATAGACTATCATCAAATGTAATGACCAATGGAAGATCGTCGTCGATAAAATTAACATCAAGTTACGAAAAATAGTGAATCATATGATCCAAACCTTCAATTTTGATGTCTATATAAAATATAACCTTATTTTCTTAACAAAACATAAAAGAAAAAAAAAAAATGCTCGAACCGACTCTTTTAGTTTGTTATTTCGCCTTAGTATTTTTAAGTTGGTTTACTTATAAAACGTATATTTATCCAAATTTTATTTCTCCTTTGAGAAAAATTCCTGGCCCGTCTTCTGCTAGCCTTCTTTTTGGAAATCTTAAAAGTTTTTTCGTAGAAGAGGTTTTTTATGATTTTTATGATTACAAACTACTTTATTATCAACTACATTAAATTTTTTATTAATTTATTTTATTATATTTCTTAGTCCGGTGAAACACACACTAGATGGATAAAAGAATACGGAAATTTTGTTAAATATCACGGATTATTAAATCAACCAAATATTATAGTTACAGATGCAAAGTTAATTCAAGATATCGTTTTAAATAATGAGAAAGAATTTGTTAAATCTATGACTCTGAGGGGAGATTTTATGAAAATTCTTGGTAAAGGGCTCTCTGTTGTGGAAGGAGTAACGCATAAGAGACAGAGAAAAATGATGATCCCTGCTTTCACTTATAATAACATTAAAGTACGTAAGTCCATTGTAATTTGATGTGATAAAAATAAAATAATTAAATAAATATATAAATATATACTGTATATTTTCACAATTAGAATATGGTTCCAAAATTTATTCGCGTATCTTTGACATTAAAAAGCTTGATGGATGATGAAGTAAATAAAGAAGGATCAACAATTAACCTTACTCCTTACATCTCTAAAGCTACTTTAGATGCCATTGGCATAGTTGGTAAGGAAAAATTTTTTTTTTTTTTTTTTTTTTTTTTTTTTGTAAATATTAAGTTATAAACTACTTCTCAAAAATAATTTTTAGCATTTAATCACGAATTTAATTCATTAACGTCTCCGAGTGAATTAGCAGAAGCTTATAAATCTATCATGGAAATTGTATTAACTTTTTTATACGCTTTTATTAGTAATTTATCTACATATGCCCCATTTCTCAGAAAAATCCCACTAGAAATAAACAAAAAATATAATAATGCTTGTAAAGTTATTGAACGCGAATCGATAAAGTTGATTGAAGAAAAATACCATGATGACAGAAATAACAAATTAGTTGGAAATGATTTATTGTCTATATTGATTAAAATTAACAAGACTTTACCCGTTGAAGAAAAATTGACAGATGAAGAACTGAAATTTCAGGTGATTTAAAAATATTTCGTAAAAAAAATTTTGTGTCGTAATTTATTGAATTTTTTTTATTTATTTTTTTGGTTATTTAGATCATGACATTTTTATTGGCAGGACATGAAGCTACGACTAATGCAACAACTTGGGCTTTACATCTACTTGCAAAAAATCCAGATATGCAAGGTAAATTACGCGAAGAGTTGGTTGAAGCTTTTCCTGATAGATCAAAGTTTAATCCCACCTATGACGAAATTGATTCTTTGAAATACTTAAATTGTGTAATTAAAGAAACGTTAAGATTATATCCTGCAGGTAAAAATTTTTAACAAATTACAAATTACATAGTAACTTTAATTAACGACGATCAATTTTTATCTTAGCATCTTTTATTCAACGTTCTAATATCAAAGATATGTCGTTTGGCGAGCATTTTATTCCAAAAGTATGATAATATTTTAATGTTTTATTTGTTATTCATATATGTTAAGACAGTACTTTTCTAAAATAGTTTATTAAAAAATAATCCTTTAATTAATAGGGTACTATAATAGATATCTCGATTGCAACGCTTCATAAATTACCTTCAATTTGGGGACAAACGGCTGATGATTTCGACCCAAAAAGGTGGTTAAACCCTTCATTAATTAAGGATATTACAAATTACAATTATTTACCTTTCGGTGCCGGTATTAGATCTTGTATAGGTAACAAATTGGCTTTAATTAAGCTTAAAGTATTGTTAAGCATGCTAGTTAGAAATTTCACTTATCGACCCGTTGAAGGATTTCAAATTAAGAAATCTGTTTATCGATCTAGTAAAGTGAAACCATATCTTCAATTAATAGTTTCTAAAGTTGAAGCTTAATTCGTTTACGCTCTGAAAGTACGATAGACAAAATTCGAGTACTTCATTAATGAGTTACGTCAAATTAAATAAATATTAAATTAAATTCTTACTAAATCTTATATAAAGTAAGGAATTACGGTAAAATTCGATAAATCGAACGTTAAGTAATTATTTTCGATGATATACTTTGACTTGTATTTGTGATCAGATCATCTAATATGTCATCAGGCCGTCATGTTATTTAAGATTTTAAATAATTATTGAATATCAGAATTGGTTTAAAATAAACTTTTTCAAGTTTCAAAAAATTCGAAATTGTATAAGAAACAAAAATTTGGCATATCGTGATTGGTTAAAATTTTTTTTTATGTTTGATCAACCGTCTTGCATTCCGACAACTTTTGTTATAGTGTGGAAAATGTCCGGAAAATGTCAAAATCGTCCGGAAAGTGTACCAAAACATGGTAAATTCCGGATATCGCGTCGTGATGTCTTGATATGGTCCGGAATTTATACCGAAACATGGTGATTCCGGACATTATCTGGATACTACGGCAAATTCTGGACAAATTCCAGAATTTTTTTTTCATAGGGTTGAATTAGAAAATTAGAAATAAAGTGAATAGTTTTTCTATTTCAATGTGTCGGGTCATGTTCACAAATTCACATGCTGATTTATATAATCCCAAACTGTCATTTTCCTAGCTCTTGCGAAAGTTATTCTATTATAATAATCGATCGCCCCATTTATACAATTACAAATCGGTTCATGTAAACGTACTGTATTCAAAAGATCTCTAGCTTATAGTGAAACAACACACACAAAAAACAAATACAAATTATGCACAAATTATAGATATTGTAAACATTTTTTTAAAATCAATCATAACTTTAATATTTATTATATATGTATAACAATAAAAATAAATGATTAAACAAGGACAATTATACAACTCATATGACAAGACCAAAGAGTAGAAAAATAAAAAATAACTTATGTGCAACTGCAGCTAGAGTATTGCGATGATAGTAACTCCAAGAGGTACTCAGAAAGTGAGAATCGGATCCTGATCACGGAGTCGGTTGGATTGTTACGCAAGGGAAGGTACAAAGCCAATTCCTCCTCTAGAAAAAGCAGCCCCCTTACCAAAGAAACCACACCATGAATAGTTTACCAACAAACACTTCCGAATAAAATACTCTTGAAGCCCACATACTTGTGACTGCAATCAAGACTAGTACTTCACAAAGACTCTAGCCGCTCGCTCCTCCGGATGAAAATATATATATAAAAAAAAATAATAATAATAAAAATAATAATAAAATCATATTACGAAAATCAAATAAATATACCTTCTTGCCCACCCCTGTCCTGCTGCCGCCTTCGTTCAAGAGTCCCCTTCTACGTACTGCTCCTTCTGCGTTAACTCCTCGTTACCTATGATAGTTACGCGTTTAATAAAATAAAGAATATTAAAAGTTAATAAGGTTCTTTTCTAAAACACATTTTTTTTATATTTTGTTTAGTCTTGTAATATGAGTTGTCGCGTGAAAAAAAAAGTAAAAAAAAAGTAAAATATTTAGAAACACGTAATATATAGTAAAATGGGCAAATACATGTGATCAGACTATGCTTTACTACATACTATTTATTATTCACATTGAGAATTAGAATTGTCTTTGGAAATCATTTTTGTAAAAGAAAAAGAAAAAAAAATCTATCGACCATCCGTACCAAAATAAATATCACTTTTTTCACTACACGCGACTTTCTCACTCAAATGACACGGTCAAACTGAAAAAATTATGCGAGCAAGGTAAATATTGAAGTATCTTTATTACTTTCAAATTTTGAATTATAATAATTTTTTAGAAGTTAGACATTGCGAATTTTTAGCAAAAGAGAAATAACGAAAACATTACTTATAAGACGGTCAAGCAAGAAGTGGAGGATGATAACAAATGTAAAGGTTTAATCTTCTTAGGGTGTCCGGAATCTACAATGTGGTATTCTGCTGTGCACAACCGTAGATGTTAATTTAATTCCATTCCTTTATGATATCACCTAAAACGAGTCAGCTATGGATAAAAAAAACTTATGTTTTAAGAGAAGTCGAAATATTGTTTATAGTAAAGAAAGAATTTCAAAAGAAGTTATAGCAAGTAATTACAATACGCCTTCCCTAAATAAAGTTCATTAAATGATCCATTTTTACAAAGATGAGGACGATGATAGTGTCAAAATAATTCGTACTTTGCTTCAAAATGGGGATCTAGCAAATGATCAGTTACTAACGTGTCTGGCAATATCAAAAGGAATCGGTAAACTGAAAGTGAATCAAACAAACGAAAGTTCTCATTTATCGCCCTAAGATTGCTATTTGCAGAACATTCGAACAATCAAATTTTGGACGGAAACTTAGGTTATATGATATTAAAAGGTCTGAAAATTTAATATGTTTAGAAAACGTAACGATCTTATCACAATTATATTATGAATGGTATATTTAGTTTAGACAAACCTATATCGAATACGAATGTCAAGATAGTTTATGAGATGAATCAAGAACCTTGATTATTAAAACAAGTGAGTGCCATTATTTTTTTTTTAGTCCTCTCATCACAAAAAAAATTAATGAATATAAAATTGTTATGACATAATCCAGTTTGGTATCTTCATGGATTTCGCGATAAAGTTAGTTTTTCATTCACGAAATTTCTTATAATCACTTTTGGCAATTCATTATAGACCATACGATTGACTTATATGATTATGTCATGGCTCCAAATTTTAGTTGGAGAAATGCTGTTCAAATAGAATATTTTTGAGACAAACGAGAAATTCATTTCCGACAAAGGGTAATTTTTAAACGTGATACTTTTAGCACACGATTGTCAGAAATTAGTATTGATTTATTTTTTTATATGTTCTATATAATGTAGGCTTGCTCAGCCTACATCATTTATAACTTCAATATGATATATGCGGTGTATAGGATTATATGCATCGGAACAATAAAAAATTATATCAAAATTTTTTTTGTAACTGGGATTTTATTTTATTATATGTGTAGTCTTTTAACTAATCAATATTATTAATAGATCACGTGAAATGAACTTGAGAAAGTATACCCGAAACAAGCAAATTGCAACGCGTTTACAATTCATGATTCTGTAAATTTAAGTTATTTACAACGATAAAAGAAGTTATCAATAAAAAATCACAACAATCGCAAAGATAATTTGATTAAATGATCGAAACTTGTGTAGATTATTGAGTAAAAGAAATCATGATTCAAAAAAAAAAAAGAAATAGTAAGCATTTTCGGATCAACTATTAAAATATTTAAATTATGAATAAAGCGAATAATTAGTTAACGTTAATTAATTTATAAATAATGTTCTTCAACCAACCAAATCATTAAAAAAAATAAATAAATAAATAATATAAAATCAATCACCTTTGAACTTTAAATAAAAACATCTTTTCGGAATAAATAATGTAGACCAAAACTTTCAGAGAAGAAATCTTTGTAATTAATTGAGAAAAAAAAAATTTGTTTTTGGTGATCAGAATGTTTAGTTAAGAAGAAAGATATCGAAACTCGAGAACATTTCGAGTGGGTTTTTATAATTCCAGATTTAACTCGCACTTTTTACTTGATGACCGGTTACGGATTAGCCTGTGAGTATTTTACTAGAATTTACAGAAATTTACCCAAACACAAACCTACATTTACGGGATTGGCGCTAAAATTCACATTAAAAAAAAAATGCGTTAAATGTCATGTATCTTAAAATAGATCAATAGTTTGAGAAAAGTTTGTTAGAGTTTGGTTGTGCGTATCAATCACTTCATGAAAAAAAATTTTTTTCTTTATTTTTTAAATTAATAATCAAGGTTATTATTGTTCAATTTGTTTTAAAAGGAAGGAAAATAAATAGAAACACTAAAGAGAAACAAATCTCCGTAAAACATTTGCTTAAAAAGTACATGCAAGCAACGCAGCGCGCAGATCACATGTTTTTGGATAAATTAATAAGTTGAAAATCGGCAAATTCAGCACAATCTTTAAATTTCTAATCCAAGTAGAATAAATACCACTAACTTTGTTTTTAAAAACATGAATTCCAACCAATTTGAACAAACTAGGTACTATGAACAATGTGTAGTTGAGCAAGAGTACGATTTATGTCCCGATTGCGATCGACCAAAAACTTATAAATGGTGGTGTCGTGTTGTAACTGCAATTCGAAAATATTTCAACAAGATTTCAGTAACTGAACGAGCGGAAATGAACATATTGGTAAATTTATCCAGGATACTCAATTGAAAACAAGAAATTAATATGAAATATTAGAATGGATCCCTTATGATCGTTTAAGAAATATAAAATATCTTGCTAGGGGTGGTTTCAGCATCATTTATAAAGCTATTTGGTTGGATGGATCGATTTGGAAGTATAAGAAAGAGAAAAAAAATGTTTAAGGTACCTTGAAAATCTTAAAAATGAATCTCATAGTGACGCGGAAAAAGAGGGCGTCACTTCACCCATCAAGGATGATGAAAATTTCGGAATTTATGTGGCTCTCAAGAGTTTAAACGATTCTTCAAATATTTATCAAGATTTTTTGAACGAAGTAAGTTTTTTTTCAATTTACGTTTTATAATTACCTTTGGTAAATGGTACTTACCTATTTGATTAATTTTAGTGGAAAAATTATTTACAATTCATGTATTCGGTTAGTAATCATAATTCATCTTTCATGATTATTTATGGAATAACTCAAGATCCTAAAACGTTGAATTACATGATCGTATTAAAAGAAATGAAAGTTGGTAATTTAAGATCTAACCTCATGATAGAAAAATATAATCCGAACGATAAATATGGGAATCTATTTCACATTGCAACGTCACTTTCCGCTTTGCATGGATATAATTTATTTAATAGGATTTTCATAGTGACAACCTACTTTTGCAAGATCAGAATCATATTTTTGTAAGTGATTTGGGATTGAGCAAATCACCTGATTACCCGAATGATCCTAAGAATATCTATGGAGTACTTCTTTACATGGCACCAGAGATTTTGCTTGACAAGCCATATACCAAAGCTTCCGACATATATTCTTTTGGTATAATCATGTGGGAATTCACATCAGGGTTCCCGCTTTCAATGATATTGCTCATGATTTTCACCTAACTTTAGAGATCTGTCAAGGTCGAAGACCAAAAATAATTGAAAATACCAATCCTGACTATGTAGAGATAATGAAAAGTTGTTGGGAGTTTGATCCAAACAAACGACCTAGTGCTGATGATTTGGTACAAAAATTCAAATTATTAATTAAAACATATCCATATAGTAATCAAAGGGTACCTGTACCAGGTAATAAAGTTATACTTTATGAATCTTTTTTGAAAAAAAATCAATGCTAAAATTTTATATTCTTTTCGTAGAACATGAACATCATATTCAAAATCATTCATGCTATACAAGCAGACAATTTGAATATTCTGAGATTAAATGAAGTTTTAAGTCAGGAATCAAGTTCTAGAATTATCGATTATCAAGAAGGTGAAGATGATGATAACTTAATGATAAACGAAGAGTTTGAAGATGATGATGATAACTTAATGATAAACGGAGTTTGGTAAGATATTTTATATACATATTTGTCTTCATCTATTTAAATTTTTTTTATTTTTAACAATAGTATTTATATTGCATTTAATTTAGAGCATTTATGATCTAAAAAATTTAGATTCTTTCCATACTTTAAGATAAAATTTATATATTGCAATTTCACAACTTACTATTTTTACTGCGCCAAATAATTGATTTGTTCCGCAGTAAACGAACATCACATTTATTTTAAATATCCTCGACTATTTCTTCTTCCTCGCTAAAACAAGGAAAGTAATTAAATACTAGTTGAAAAACGAATCTTCTAGTTACAAAAATATCAATGATAAGAAATACCAAAATTTTTCATCATTGCTATCCCATTGTGAACTTTTCATATCTTTATCGTACTTGATGCTTTCATTGCTATCTTCATTTCCATTGTTATTGTTTTTCTTGAGGTTCAGAAATAGTTTTCGAAAATTTTGATGTCTTCCACCTCTGCCGATGTTGTTATGTCGCTATAATTAAAAAAAGTTTTAAGACAGCTTGATACAAAAATACGTAAATAAAATAAGAATCACAAAGCTAAACTAAATTGGTGGATACTAATTTGTACGTTCTGAAAATCTAATATACTAATTGTATTAGCTATTTAATCACTCAAAGATGTTTTAAAGCTTATTCTCTTCTTGAAACCTTTTGATTTTACATCGTAATCGGTAATTCGTTAAATATCCACTTCACATGGTTTGCAAGAAAAGGAAACCAAAAACTAACCTTTTTGGTAGCCCTTGGATCAACATTAATATGTTCAATCAACTTGTTACGAAGGTATTCGCTCTAAATAAATTAAAAAAATTTGTTGAAATCGAAATAGGTCAAAATTTTCATATTATTACTATTATTACATGGTGTTTATAAATTTACCTCTTCTAGAAGGGATGTATTTATGCAAATGAAAAAGTGATAAAAATATTAACTCGCGATTATAAAAAAAAAAGTTCTTTAAATCGCGGGTATTATAATTTAATTAAGTTTAAAAAAAAAGTTCAAAATTAATTTTTAATAAACATTAAACAAAAACAAAAATAAAAAATAAATTAATAAATTATTTATATTTAATATTTTTATTATAAAACTTTATTTTTATTTAAATTGTAAATAAAATGTAAAGAAATTTTATATTGGCATTTGGATATCCCAAAATGTGCATTTGGAACATACCGAAATGCGCATTTGAGATATCCAAAAAGTGCATTTTGGACATACCCAAAATGTTCATTTAGGATATTGTCTGAAATGTGTGTTTGGGATATTCCAATTGCGCATTTCAGACATTAATGCATTTGGGATACAACAGCTATATCGCGGTAAAACTGATAATAATTCATCACGTAAATCAATTTTTTTAAAAATACTATACAATTACAAGTTCGTGGTTTAATCTTTATAATAATTTGTTTATTAAATATTGTACATGAATAATTGTCAAACAATTTTACATTCTTTCATTTATTTTGTAACTAAATATATAATTCAACTTACACTCCATATATTTATATATATTACGATTATCGATTTAAATCGATTTTTGATCAATTATTAAACCTACCGAAAAAAATCATTTCCCTTGAATAACGATTACTTATTAGGCTGCATTTTATATTGTCACCAGTTAATTTGCAAGCACTCCGAGGTTCCTATTATATAGGCGTCACCTAGGGTGGATGTAACAAAAATATGGCTTGTGTTGAACTCAAAGTATAAAAAATTTGTTTGTGCGATTTTTGAGAATAATTTTTTTATAATAAATTTAACAACAATTTATAAATAATATTGGATCAATTTGTAAAGACATTTTTTCCAAATAAAAAATAAAACATAAAGGAGAAACCAAATTAATATAATTTATTGCATAAGTTTTAATATTCATTATCCCATTTAATTATAATATATTTTTAAGTATATCTTAATCAATATCTCATTTACAAAAATAAAATAATAATCAGTTGAAATTCTCATTAGGACAAAGTTAATGAACTAAATATCATTAATTTATAATCATTAATTATGATGATATTTTTGTTAAAGTTTTAGTTTAAGGAATGGGATTTAGGATGGGATGGGATTAAGACTTTATCCCATACCCATATAGTATGGGTAACAAGTATAGTAAGCGGACATTTTTCGGACACCTCGAATATATTTCAATTTACTTTTTTTTTCTTTGATGAAGTATTATACCTCCACTACATGATAATTTTGGCTCAGAACTCGATAAATTTTAGTCAGTTTGTCAAGGTGCCATGTTGCCAAGCTGAACTTTTTTTATTTATAATTTACACCAATATATTCCATCCTTTTTTCATATTGCGGATATGTTTCTTATTTTTTGTTTTTCTGATATTTTTCTTTATTTTATTTTTCTTTTGTTGTGCATTTTAATAAAATTAAATTTCGGAAGTGTAGGGCGCCGATGTTGAGCCATCACTTGATAACTTGATTTTAATAATTTACATCATAATTGTCTAATTTCTAATTACAATTATTTATAATATAAACGAAAGAATTAAAAAGGATAAGTTCACGAAAAATCATTTACTATGCTGCATAATGGAGAACGAAAATGCTGCGAAAAAAATAAAGGCTATATTTAAAATCTATCACTTATTTACTGTAATAATGCATTAAACAGAAGAAACTTTTCGCAATATTTTAGTAATGCACTTGAATTTGTCATTGATTCAACAATTTGATGAGGCATTAGAACAAGCGACTAGCGATTAGGGCAGAATTTCCACGACTTCCCCTGTGTAACTTTCAAAAAATTTCACGAAATGGCCGGCATCACGGCATTTGGCTGGAATTAATTGTGACGCATATGGAACGACACTGACATTTTTGAAGGTTACGCAGGGGAAATCGAATATTTCCACATGCTGCGCCACATAGATAATACATTCAATAGAGTTTTGAAACATATGATCATATTTTAGTTTCCCTGAAAAATATAAAAAACTTTACCTGCTATCTTTCTAAATTCTGAAGTGGAAGTGGTTCAGAAAATCGTCCAAAAAAAATTGTTGTCATACACTAAATTAATGTGGCTTATAAATTTGATTAAACGTTACATGATTTACCACTTGCATTTTTTTTTTTTTGCTTTTCTCTCAAGAATTTTAGTTCATTTCGCAATATACCAAAATTATTAAATTATGCAAACAGCGAACAATTCAAATGAGTGGATTAATTGGATTGAAGAATCTTTCTCAAGAAAAAGTATCAAATATTACGAATATAAACAATTTAGTAATTTTCAAAAGATAGGCGCAGGCAGCTTTGGAAAAAGTATATCATGCAAATTGGAAAAGTTCGAAGCAACATCTCGCTTTAAAATCATTTCATAACTTTAACGATGATACTGGCAAAGAACTTGTTCGTGAGGTAATTAATATACAATATGTATTTAATTTATTTTGGTCCATTAAGTTTATATATCAAGTTAAATTTATATTCATAATAATTTAGCTTGAACTTCAACGGGAAGTTGATTTTCATAACAATATCATCCGCTTTTGGGGATTACAATCTTAAATATTGAGATTAATTATAGTTTTATATTGACTTCTATATTTTATTTTTAACTAATTTATATAAAAAAAAAATAGAAAATCAAAATGAATTGAAAAATTATTGGTTAGTAATGGAATATGCTGATGGCGGTACGCTTAAAAACTATTTGAAGAATAATTTTGATAAGCTTACTTGGGGAGATAAATACAACTTGGCATTCCAGTTGGAATGTGCTGTATCGTGTGTATATGACGAAGGAATTGTACATCGTGATTTGGTAACCTTCAATTTTGTTTATTATGAAAATTTCTTTTTAGCAATTAACAAGATATATTTTTTTTCTTTATATGGATAGCATTCAGACAATATATTAATACATCAAGGCGTCATTAAACTAGCAGACTTTGGTTTATCAAAAAGAATTGAGGCGATAACTAATCGATCAAAAGTGTTTGGTGTAATTCCTTATATTGATCCAAGAAGTTTTCATAGGGAAAGAATAAATGACAATACATCGATGCAATATAAAAGAGTGACGTTTACAGTGTTGGCGTACTCTTATGGGAATTATCAAGTGGTCGTCCACCTTTTCATGTTAAAGGTGAAGAATATGGAATTTGTTTAGTTATAGAAATTTTAAGGACGTAGAGAAATGATCGTCCCTGATACACCTAAGAATATGTAAATATTTATACTGGTAAATATATTATCTAATTAAGAAACTAAATTTTATGTTTATGGTCATTAAATTTTTATATGATTTAGGGTGCTGGGATACTGAGCCAGACAATCGTCCGGAAATGAATCATGTAGTTGATCAATTTAATTCAATTATTACAAAATCAAACGTTAAAGAAAATAATATTGATGATGAAGCAAGCCTTCAATTATCACCAAAATATAGTTATTCGAGAAGTGTTAATGATTTTTCCAGTATTAATAATTCACTTGATCAGATGAGAATAGAAGAATTAGATGATACTATTGTTAGTATAACGATTACGGATCTTAATATTGACGATATATTATACGCCTCAGGAGGATTACAAAGATATCGAAAATTGACAGAACTTATTTACTCTTCTATATTTATAAGTGATTTACCAACTTTACCCAACTCGTTAACGATACTTATTTGTTCTGAAACTAAAATAACTCTCCTACCAACTTTACCCAACTCCTTAACGGAACTTTGTTGTTCTGATACACCAATAACAATCCTACCAACTTTGCCCAACTCCTTAACGGAACTTTATTGCTCTAATACTCCAATAACAATCCTACCAACTTTACCAGCTCCTTAACAATACTCTGTTGTCGTAATACTAAAATAACTATTCTACCAACCTTACCTAACTTCTTAACGGAATTTTATTGCTCTTATACTCCAATAACAATCCTACAAACTTTACCCAACTCCTTAACAATACTTCATTGCTCTTCTACTCAAATAACAAACCTACCAACCTTACCCAACTCTTTAACGAGACTTATTTGTTCTGAAACTAAAATAACTATCCTATCAACTTTACCAAACTCCTTAACGAATCTTTATTGCTCTTTTACTCCAATAACAAACCTACCAACTTTACCCAACTCGTTAACGAAACTCCAATGCTTTAATACTCAAATACAAACCTACCAACTTTACCCAGCTTTTTAAAGAAACTTAATTGCTCTGAAACTCAAATAACTTTCCTACCAACTTTACCTAACTCGTTAACGAGTCTTTTCTGTTACGATACTTTAATAACTAGTTTGCCGAATTTACCCAATTCCTTTACTTTAAAAAAACTCAACGCCTCATTAACTATCCTGCCAAATCGATCACTCCGATACTATTGCCTAAAATTTTAACCTTCTACATAACCTTTATTAACGTTCAAGTTTCTTTTGAGGTGTAAAGATATTAAAAGCTTTCACATAATTTAAAGATCTATAGACCCCCGCCAAAAGTTTCCGAACACCAAGTTTAAATGCAAATAAATACATCGTTATGTCACATGACCAAATGATA